CAACTCTTGGGTATCTTTATTGAGGAAACGTTTCGCCACACAGTGGCTTCATCAGTCCATACATAGGAGAAACTTGAAGAACAGGAGGAGAATGAGGTAATCAGTCCCTCAACCTTGAGTCGATGTGTTCAGTCCATCAATCTTGAGTAGAATACGGCAGATGAGCGGAGAAGCAGCTTATAAACCGTATGGCAGGAGAGGTGTAGCAGTCATAGGTAGTGTCACATTCCTGCCATACGGTTTATAAGCTGCTTCTCCGCTCATCTGCCGTATTCTACTCAAGATTGATGGACTGAACACATCGACTCAAGGTTGAGGGACTGATTACCTCATTCTCCTCCTGTTCTTCAAGTTTTCCTATGTATGGACTGATGAAGCCACTGTGTGGCGAAACGTTTCCTCAATAAAGATACCCAAGAGTTGCACATGTGTCTAATTTATCAACATGTCGGTTCTCTGAACCATTCATCTACAAAGTCTGAAGGTATAGGTGGAACACTGATGGGAGTGACAGAATTACCAGTGCCTGACCGCTTGGGTACGCTACTGGAGAATGCATTAGCTTGTAAGGACTTAATCCGTACATCATACTCTGCAGCAGTATAACAGATTTCTGATCCAAGCTGGTAACCCCAGAATGGGACGATCAAGTCGTCAATTTGGGCATGCCATCGATAAGGGTCGAGCACAATGCGTAAGTCTCGCATGGAAGCAAATCCCAGTAGAAGGTCACCAGGGAAAGTAATCTGGTCGACAACAAGGAAGGAAGCAGTGAAGTCTCTACCTTGGATAGAAAAGGTTAGGGAAGTCCGACCTCGGACACGCAGGTGAGAACCAGCTACTCCACTAAGGGAGGACACATGAGTCGGTTCTACGAGAAGGACATGTCGTAACTGCTTATCCTTAAACAAACTAGACCTAATAATATTGACTTGCGCACCAGGTCCATGAAACAAATGAACGGCGCCCTTATAAACAGATGCTTGCACTATAGGGCCTATGGTTGCATTGGAAGTTATGTGCAAACAAAAAGGTGGATTGTCATCAGAAAAGACTTGTTCTACTTCATCCCCAAAATCATCTATGTCAGAGACATGTGAAGCAACATCATCAGCAGGATTGTCATTCTCGAGACTGCTTAAGGCTTCAAAGGAATTGTGAACGGGGATGGTGTACTCATTTTTCACCTACTGTCACCATGGGACGGTTTGACTGGGGCGCTCGAATTCCCCCGAATTGGAAGAACGAGCCTGGTTCTGGTTAGTTTGAGAATTGGAAGAATGAGCCTGGTTCTGGTTATTTTGAGAACCACGATATCTGTTTCCTCTACGGGTTCTGCGGTTGGAACGGCCACGGAAAGACCTAGAGTACTGAAGGTTATAGAGAGCATTGCACTCAGATGTGTCATGTCCATGTATTCTATGATAAGTACAGTAGGGAAGATCTGGGTACTCATCATCAGTACGACGTCTCCTAGGGTAACTATCAGGACAATTAATTGCAATATGGCCACGGAAACCACAGTTATAACAAGTCCGCCGACTATGGTTATGGTTGCAATTATGTAAGAATCTTTATCCGAGACTAACCCTTCAATAAGGGGGAGCGATGATGTCAATGAAGGGCTCTTGATCTAAGGAAATAGAGGCACCCTCCCCTTTCATGGACCAAACCTATTAGTTACTATAACTGTGAAAATATAAACGTGATTATTTGACAGTATACTGTACGGTGCACTCGGTAGTTTCCCGTTTTCTGTTCAACATATTTCATTTATTGGCGTTATATATTATAAATGGTTAAATTGTGCTACAATATGCAATCTAACTTGACCTAGATAACGTATACCGTGGAAAAAAATAAAAAAAAATGTAAAAATTTTTAGGGCAGCAGCACACTGTAGTGTCTTCGCTTTTCTTAAAGACAATAATAATTCTGCCTAGCGTCTCTTTAATAAGTTCTAAGACGTTGTCACTGCTATACTTGAGGTGTTTTATTTCACCTGCCTCTGGAGTCTATCTAGAGTTGAGATGTATCGGATGTGAAAATTTAGATATCCGCGGATGCAGATTTGTATGAGGATGTCTTACTTATTTCGCGGGTGCGGATGTAAGTAATTGTGCGGATGTTCCGTGGATTCGGATATATATGCGGATATCTGTTTACAGTAAAATGCAGATGCGGATGCAGATGTAAGAAATTGTGCGGGATGTTCCGCGGATGCGGATATCCGATACATCACTAAGTCCTAGAGGGTGTTCTGGGGGTCAACGCCCCCGCGGTCCAGTTCTCGACCAGGCCTCCCGGTGGATTAGGGCCTGATCAACCAGGCTGTTACTGCTGACAATCCAACGTACAAACTACAATCCAATGTACAAACGTACGAACCACAGCCCGGCTGATCGGGCTGTTCGGCCTGAGGCCAGACTTCCTTGTTGACCAGGCTGTTGTTGCTAGCGGCCCATAAGATAACAGACGTTACATACGAGGCTGCCTGCTTGTAGTGTATCTAAACATTATTTATTACTTAAGCTACAGCAAGACGCACGCTACATACAACATTGGTGTACCGTTACCTGGAGGTTATTCCGGGGATCAACGCCCCCGCGGCCCGGTCCATGACCAGGCCTCCCGATGGATCAGGGCCTGATCAACTAGGCTGTTACTGCTGGCCGCACGCAGTCCAACGTACGAGCCACAGCCCGGCTGATCCGGCACTATGTATCTGTCCAGCTCTCTCTTGAAGGAAGCCAGGGGTTTATTGGCAATTCCCCTAATGCTTGATGGGAGGCTGTTGAACAGTTTTGGGCCCCGGACACTTATGGTGTTTTCCCTTAGTGTACCAATGGCGCCCCTACTTTTTATTGGGGGCATTTTGCATCGCCTGCCCAGTCTTTTACTTTCGTAGGGAGTGATTTCTGTGTGCAGATTTGGGACCATTCCTTCCAAGATTTTCCAAGTGTAGATTATGATATATATCTCTCCTTCCTGCGTTCCAACGAGTACAAGTCAAGTGCTTCCAAGCGTTCCCAGTAGTTAAGGTACTTGACAGAACTTATACGTGCAGTAAAGGATCTCTGTACACTCTCTAGATCTGCGATTTCACCTGCTTTGAATGGAGATGTTAATGTACAGCAGTATTCCAGCCTAGAGAGAACAAGTGATTTGAAAAGGATCAATTACTTCAATTATTTTATTAACTGAAGCAGTGATTGATTCAAGTTACATCAGTATTGTATTGTAACAGCACCTACAGCGTGAATGACGCATACGTTACATAAGAGGTTGGTTGTACCTTAAGTGAGGCAGACGGCGTCAACCAAGGTCAGTCAGGCAGTGATAAGTCGTCTTGATACGCTAACACAAGTGCTTTTCTAAGTGTAAACATAAGTTGCAACAACAAACAAAAACAGTAAGTCGCTTAACAATGACGCAAGCTCAACATAGTTTGTATTATGCCCCGTCACCAGGTTACCAGATGGTCAGAGGTTAATGTTTCTCAGTGGTCCCTCACCATGTCAAAGCAAATGATACATTATTAACAAATGACTAAGACACCTTCAAGATAACACAACAAAGAATCATTTTTGTCTATCATCATAGATACATCGCACTGATTGGGCACCATCCCAACACCTCACTACTTCCAGTATAATTATTACTCACCGGAAACCGCTAAAACCCGTGGAAGTCAGGCAGCTCCTGGAAAAGGGGACGCATTCAGGTTTCATCCGAGGAAGGAAGATTGCATAGTTCCAACAGGTCTGGAGTTTTCTAGCATACTGATTTGGGAGTATGCCAAAGTATCGATATTGGTGGTATCAGCTAATTTTGATGATATCGATCTTAAGCTGATAATCGGTATTGATAATTTTGGTATCGTCCCATCACAAACACTGAGACCTGGTCTGGGACCGGGCCGCGTGATCGATGACCCTCATAACTGACCATAAGTAACAAACTGGTATCTAATTTTAACTGCTAGGTGGACAGGGGTGTAAAGAAACTTGTTCATACGTTTCGCAAAGCCTCGAAATCGAGCCCAGGAGCGTGTGGCTGGAACGGCATGCTCATCAGTGCAGAAAAACTTTTTTTTTATGGTTAGTGTTTTATCTGTCTACTATGAGGATGAAAAACGATGTGAAGTTCCCTGCCTCACTTCACTTTCCCGCTAGTTAAGACTCCATCTCATTCACGGACTTTCCTTCAAGTACCATTTTCCTTCCCAAACACTTATTTGTAAACTTTTAGTGACCTTAAATGCATGTACCGTATTTCGCGGCTTATTAGACGCATTTTTTTCCATAAAATGTTTCCAAAAACTACCCTGCGTCCTATAAACTGAAGGTCAGTGACAGGAGCTATAAGTTTGGGGTGTGGGGGGGGGAGGCTGTAGCTCTCCCAGTTACTTCCGATACCGAGTCATTGAAACTAAAACAAGTCTTATAAGCAGCGTCTTATAAGCTGCGAAATACGGTATGTAATGTTTATCGCCCTTGTAGGCTTAAGCTTGCCCGAAATGTTCTGCATAAGCACGCGCTTTTTGCATGCAATCTAGTGTCACCCATTTCTATATAAACATTGTATCATGTGGAAATAAACATTGACTACTACCCTTCAAGGTTTCCTCCTCTGAAATTTAACTTCTCCCATCCCCCCACCTGCTATTCTTCCCGCGGTGTTTACTTCAACAAGGTATCAGAAATTCAGTACTGCATATGGGAGGCAGAATTCAGAGGCCTCTCGTATTGTATTTTCCCTACATCAGATACACTCGCATGAGGGAGATAATAGATCCAATCTTACTGATTCTCCTCCCCCCCCCCTCTTTTTTTTTTTGTCCTTGGCATGCTGGCAGTTGTGGTTGCAGGGGTCGATTCACATCTCCTAGCCCCGCGACTATGTCATTCTTACTGCTTTATGAGCTTTATCATACTTCTTCTTAAAGCTGTGTGTGTGTGTGTGTGTGTGTGTGTGTGTGTGTGTGTGTGTGTACTCACCTATTTGTGGTTGCAGGGGTCGATTCAAAGGTCCTGGCCCTGCCTCTTCACTGATCGCTACTAGGTCCACTCTCTCCCTGCTCCATGAGTGTGTGTTTATCAGGGAAGGGAAGGTGTTTATCACGTGGGTGTGAGGTAAAAGTTGAAAGTCTATCATGAAACTTGAGAGTAGAGATGATAGGGACACAAGGGCTTCACGGAGCAAAACACTCGTCTGCCAGCCATCAATTTGGCTACACTCATGGAAACCTGCAAAACCCATAAGGATTTAGCACTTTTCCATTTGTTCTATACGACCCCTAAAGGTCATATAGCATTTGGAGAATGACTGGTAAAACTAAACTCCATTTCCTTGGACTAAAAGCACTTTACCAATATCAAGGCGCCAAGCACCCTTGAAAAAATGTCATCCATTAATACTGATAATGGGGAGAAAACCTTGATGCTAAAGGGCTCTTGATCCAAGTAATTAGAAATACTCTTCCATTCCTCGAATCAAACTTTATTGTCACTCATTTCTCCCAGGAAGTGTATGATCCTTACGGTTTAGAGGTTCCCGAAAAATATAACAATAATCCAAATTTAATTAAGATACCATTATATATATATATATATTATATATATATATATATATATATATATATATATATATATATATATATATATATATATATATATATATATATATATATTGAATTTTTAAGTTTAAATGGCTGAAGCATACTTGTAATTTACACTCTAAGGTTAACTTTGATCATTTATAAGTTTGCATAGGTCATGTAAACTTGTAAGTTTAGTCGAGTCATGTACACTATTAAGTTTACATGAGTCATGTACACTTCAGTTTAGTGGAGTCATTTATGCAGATGGTGGCGAGGAGTGTAGGTGACTGAGGAGCCATCACAGCCACATATGGTGGCGAGGAGTGTAGGTGACTGAGGAGCCATCACAGCCACATATGGTGACGAGGAGTGTAGGTGACTGAGGAGCCATCACAGCCACATGGTGGCGAGGAGTGTAGGTGACTGAGGAGCCATCACAGCCACATATGGTGGCGAGGAGTGTAGGTGACTGAGGAGCCATCACAGCCACATATGGTGACGAGGAGTGTAGGTGACTGAGGAGCCATCGCAGCCACATATGGTGGCGAGGAGTGTAGGTGACTGAGGAGCCATCACAGCCACATATGGTGGCGAGGAGTGTAGGTGACTGAGGAGCCATCACAGCCACATATGGTGGCGAGGAGTGTAGGTGACTGAGGAGTCATCACAGCCACATGGTGGCGAGAAGTGTAAGTGACTGAGGAGCCATCACAGCCACATATGGTGGCGAGGAGTGTAGGTGACTGAGGAGCCATCACAGCCACATGGTGGCGAGAAGTGTAGGTGACTGAGGAGCCATCACAGCCACATATGGTGGCGAGGAGTGTAGGTGACTGAGGAGCCATCCAGCCACATATGTGGCGAGGAGTGTAGGTGACTGAGGAGTCATCACAGCCACATATGGTGGCGAGGAGTGTAGGTGACTGGGGAGCCATCACAGCCACATAGGTGGCGAGGAGTGTAGGTGACTGAGGAGCCATCACAGCCACATATGGTGGCGAGGAGTGTAGGTGACTGAGGAGCCATCACAGCCACATATGGTGGCGAGGAGTGTAGGTGACTGAGGAGCCATCACAGCCACATATGGTGGCGAGGAGTGTAGGTGACTGAGGAGCCATCACAGCCACATATGGTGGCAGAGTGTAGGTGACTGAGGGGCCATCACAGCCACATATGGTGGCGAGGAGTGTAGGTGACTGAGGAGTCATCACAGCCACATATGGTGGCGAGGAGTGTAGGCGACTGAGGAGCCATCACAGCCACATGGCGAGGAGTGTAGGTGACTGAGGAGCCATCACAGCCACATATGGTGGCGAGGAGTGTAGGTGACTGAGGAGCCATCACAGCCACATATGGTGGCGAGGAGTGTAGGTGACTGAGGAGCCATCACAGCCACATATGGTGGCGGAGTGTAGGTGACTGAGGGGCCATCACAGCCACAGATGGTGGCGAGGTGTGTAGGTGACTGAGGGGCCATCACAGCCACAAATGGTGGCGAAGTGTGTAGGTGGCTGTGGGGCCATCACAGCCACAATTATGAGAACATTGTAAAACAGTGCCGAGAAGAACGTTGTAAAATAATTTACAAAATGTGAACAAAGTTCACACATTCAAAGGAAGAGGTAAACCCCATAGTTGTTACACCGCGCCTGAGACATGGAAGGTAATAAGACATGGTCTCAGTGAAAAACGGCTGCAGTTCCTTGTACCAAGAACCCTTCCCTGGCATCAAGACAGCCCCACTGAGGCTGCATTTCCTCGTCATACCCAACCTTCCCTGTTTATCTAATTAAATCTGAAGCCACACTGTGTATTTCTTTCAACACCGCATCTTAGTGCTGTCCTCCATGATATGACGCACTGCATACAAGTATAAACAACAGGCAAAGCTGATCAGTTAGTTTTTTTCGGAACGTTTCACTCTGTCTACTAAAACAAGTCTCATCTAGTTACATTGAACGTTTACAATACCGTCGTGTTTTATTCGTGAATACAGATGCGAATGAGGCAGGTGTTGGCACTACGATAGGGTACACAGCAAGAAACAACCACTGGTGTGTTGCAGTCGACGGTTTGCTTAACCCATCACACTGTGCCCCAGGAAATCAGGCTACCTGTAGCATGCCTCCCCTCACTCCTTTCCTCTACGCTTACAATAAACAGTACACACAGATAAATATAATTTCAGTCACCTAATAATAATATAGAAAATTAAAAAAGTGGATTTATAACATACGGTTTATGGCCTGTCTGTATATTAGGGCAGCCTAGGTTAATTAAGTTAAGCTGGATTACACTGTCCTTTATCAATAAATATTAGCCAATTATAACGTACCACAATGCCAATAAAATAAAATAAAAAGATAAGGGAGATAAAAGGTTATGACGCGTTTACAGAAAATGAGGACACAGAACAGTAGAAAAATCTGTCAATTCACTGCTGAAGAGCTAGCTAACCAATCTCCCAGTTGAGTCACAGTAAAAGTGAAACACCGTGTTAAAAGATGAAGAAGCAGTCAACAATGAAGCTTGGTCAAGCCAGGATGCAGAGTTTAGAAGAATATATAAAGACATGCAACGTAGAAAACATGAAACATTTGGCTAAACATGATTTTGAAGAAGCTCCTGGTGAGCGAAATCAAAAATTCCCTATAGGCTGCGCTTGTGTCGTCTTTATCCAGTTTTCTGTACTAGTTACCTTATGTGATACACAGGTAAAAAAAAAATTCTCGCAACTGGTCACAGATATTATGTCACTGGTCATTACAGTTGGGTATACGTGCTATAAAACACCTATCGCAGCAGCCATCGACAAACACTGGTAACAACGTCATATCTACAGTAGGTGACACACATTATCTGTTCCAGACAACGATGGTATGTCAACAGCTAAAACATTCACATTATTATTATTGATAGTATTGTTACTTATTATTACATTATTATTATTATAATCAAAAAGAAGCGCTAAGCCACAAGGGCTATACAGCTATTATTACATTAAAAGCGCAAAACCCGTATGGGTGACAAAATTACGCTATTCCGAGAATATTCCCGAAGCACCGTCTTTAAACTTCTCGCCAAGAATAGTAATGAATCAGAACTGAACCTGTCCTCCCATTCCTTGGACTGAACCTGACTTCCATTACCCAGGCGCTGTGACTTATTACAGGTTTAGCGCTTCCTTCTAAATGGGATATAAACCATTTATTTTAAATAACCATTGTACATTTTGATGTGAATCAATGAAAAAGATGTTTTCAAGAGACATCATGCCCAATGTAAACTTTTATTAAAAAAATGATGTATACAGTAGGTGTATATGTCACTCTGGCTAGGTTTTCAGTTTGGAAATATTGTAACAGTATTATGTTAATAATATATAAAACAGGTCACTTGATTACGGAAAGCTATTATAAACAATGTATTTTGTTTTTAATGTAATACTTGAGGAGGAGGAGCTCTAGTGATGGGCGAGATATTTGAGTGTTCATTATCACCATTACTCATGAAGCACCGTTTACACATTCTACCAGTGCATTTTTATTAAGTTTTCATCGGTAAGAACTCAACTCGCAGAAGTCTACAGCTCCTGGTGTGAGGGAGGGAATCTGGTTTGATATCCAGGGAAGAGAAGAACAGGTTCAATTCCTTGGATCAAGAGCACCCTCACCAACATCATGAGCTTCCCTTAGGGGCCCTTTTTATGATTATTTGTAGAGATGGAGGGATGACACTGAGGTGGCTAGTCTGGTAAGACTGAAACCACTTCTGTAAAGTGCTGAAGGACTCTGTGGGAGCTTAAGTGAACTGTTAATTGTGTTATTTCACTAGAATTTTGTTAATGCTGGTGTTACTAATCATTGCCGTAACTCTCCCTAGAATTCTGTTACTTTTTCCTATAACATTATGTTTTTTACCATCTTAATGGATACTTTTATTGTCTATATATAGTGTTCCCCAAACTTTCATTATTAATGTAACACATAATTATATTCCATTATATATTTGGTGTATCACTCTTTCCCAGTGTAATTTCCCTGATATAGAATATAAAGATATTGAACTGTGTACTCTTAAGGGTAGACTAGTGGATAATAGAGCAAGGGTATATACACTGAGAATTTACTTTAATCCTGATTTTAGGGATTATTTTGATAGTGAACAGGTTACATGCAGACTAAATTACCCCAGTGTAGTCAACTGGCTTTATACCCACTTAAGTCAATCAACTACAGGGAGGTAGAGTTCATCCTGCCCAGTAGAATAAGCTTTTGTTTAATAAGTTATCTAACGGCAGGCTGTGAGAGTCTCGGCTTTCCCTTCCCTCACCCGGTATGAAACAAGCAAGCGAGCATCAATAGTACTTATCAGGTCATCAACAGGAAGACGAGGCGTGGGGGCGATGATCCCCAGGGATATCAATAGGCTACTGGTAGCGGCTTCGGTCCCCCCCCCCCCATCTATATTGTTAATATCACTGGGAAGAGCTAAACGCATAGACGTCATACAGCGCCAGAGAAATGGAAGGCAATAAGGTTTGATCCAGAGGATAGCTTCAAACCCCTGGATCAAAAGCCCTCCATCTGCATCAAGGCACTTCCTTGGAAGGGACCACTGTAACAACGCACGTCACTAAACCGATCACCATGACACCCCTGCCTGTGATTCATTCTGGTGACTACGATAAAAACAAGGCCGTTATGCGACTTATTTTCTACGTAACATATTTTGTTTGATACATTTCATTATGATGGACCATGGATCTGCTAGTTCGTATCTGAACTTTTATTCAAATT